TCTTGTAGATCCAAGTCTTCTCAGGGTCCAAGTCTTCTCTGTGGGACCCAGATTCATGCTTTGTATATCATGCTGCTGAGTGAATGAATAAAATCCCAAAGCATCTAAGCATCATGAAAGCCCATTCAATTCTTACTGAGAAGGCAAGGTACCCTGTACAACATCAGACATCATTTTTAGTTGGGCATGTAAAAAAAAAAAAAAAAAAAGCTAAACTAGAACACACTCATGAGGTCATTTAGAAGTTTAAAATAACATCTCCAATATTTTTTTCCTTATATGTAGTTTTTAATGGGGAAATATTTTGTTATAAATGCCCAGTATATTCCTATAAGTCAATGACATTTCTCTTAGTTTAGGGATTAGATAGGAGATGGGATATTAGTGGTTAAGGATATGAAGGATTGCTGACATAAATGTTCAAGTCCATGGGAATGTGCATAGACCACATACTTTGTAGTGACTATCAAAACAATAAAATATCTTAAAAGAATTGTTTTATTGTTCAGACTTTCCTATTTCATTGGATTTAGTTAAAAAAAAAACCCTACAAAAACCCCACACATGATGATCTTTTATAGTAGGTATGTGGTTACATGAAGAATAAAAATCAGTTAAACGCTAAAGCAAGCAAGAGAAAGAAACTTGTGGGCACCTGGCTGGCTCTCAGTTGGTAGAGCATGAGACTCTTAATCCCTGGATTGTGAGTTTGAGTCTCATGTTGGGTGTAAAGATATGGTGGGTATAGAAATTACTTAAAAAAAAACAAACTTTTTTTTTTAAAGAAAAAGAAACCTATAATAAGTTTTAAAATGACAAAAACTTCAATGAAAGGAATTGGTTTCTGCAAATAAAGTCACCATGTGGAAGACAGTTTTACCTAGGGGAGAAAAATGCAGCCAATATTCACTTGTTAAAAGCACACAACTCGGGCGCCTGGGTGGCTCAGCTGGTTAAGCGACTGCCTTCGGCTCAGGTCATGATCCTGGAGTCCCGCATCGGGCTCCCTGCTCGGCGGGGAGCCTGCTTCTCCCTCTCCCACTCCCCCCTGCTTGTGTTCCCTCTCTCGCTGTGTCTTTCTCTGTCAAATAAATAAATAAAATCTTTAAAAAAAAAAAAAAAGCACACAACTCTTACGTAGTAAATATACATGTAGCAAAACCAAACTTTTTTGGGGGGTCTAATTCCTAAGTTCTCAAGGAAAGCCTTTGATTTTAAAATAGCTCACAATTCACTGCCTCTAGTGAAGAGACATAGAAAATGTCTTTTCTGCTAAGTATGTGCTAACATGCCTATTACCCAGCCTTTCTCCATGAGACAAAAGAAATTTGGTGCCCAGGCAAGGTTACACTTGAAATATTATTAACAAGGATCAAGAATTCTCACCAACTTACATCAATGTTCTCAATCTTTTATAAAGCTGGCCACAAGTTCCATGCAGATGCTATCCATTGTGATCATTAACAGCTGTATACTTTCACACAAACTTTACTTTATACTGACAATACTAGTAATATAATTTTTTTCTATTATTTTCCAAGGCCAGACCTTGGGAAGGCAATGCACAGAATAACCTCCATCAAAAACTGGAATTTCTAGGTAACAAAATAGCAGAGATTAAAAAACACACATAGAGACCTCACCAAATAAATAACAGAATCAGATTTTTTCCAGGGAAAGAACAGGCTGAGAAAAACCAAGTTTCAAAACAAATGGGCAGAGAAAGAAAACAGTGTTTAAAAAATAGCCATTTAACCAAACCAGATCCATTGCTTGGAATGGTAATGTTTTCAATGTGTTAGCTATTGCCAATACAGTTCAAGCTCTTAATTGTATAGGCCAAAAGTGGTTTAATGCCTGAACTAGAACCCAGATCCTTAGGCTCATATTTAATGCTCTATTTCCGCTACTAGAGCTACTGCTCGTAGACTTAGGAAGCAAGCCTGAGAGAGAGCTGGCAAAGCGTGGACACTCAGCAAAGCCTTCTGAGTGTCCTAGCGAGGTCCTGTGACATTCCCTCTTGACCTAAAGCCATTAGATTGGAAAGCTCTGGAGGGGACTTCCACAGCCTGCCTATGAAAGGTGTGTGGAGTCAAGTTCACTTCAAGGACAAACCTCATGTGGGCTGTGGGTCTATCTCTATCCTGTACCCAGAAGATCCCAAGTGTGGTTTGTGGGTGCAGCAATCTGTGTGTCTAGTAAGGACCTTGTGACAGTCATCACTCAGCCCTTACCTGTGTGGCCACCCGTCAGGGCCCACGGTAATATTTGCTATATTCATAATTAACGCAATTGGATATAACTATATGTTGATATGTAGAAATAGAAATATATAAACATACAAAGATGTATTATCACACCTGCATATCATCGTTTGACCCTTACCATAATCCTTTAAGACAGGCACTACTACACCCATTTGACCCATGTGGAAAAGGAAGCACAAAGAGTTTGAGGGACTTGACTAAAATCTCTGGTTATTCTGTGACAAAGCCAAACCTGGAGCGGTGCCTGTCTGTCTCCAAAGCAAGTAACTTTATCTTCCAATGCTGGCAAGTGTGGCTTCTGCCACGACCATGGCTCCATCCGTGGGAACAGCAGACGGAGGAGACCCATTCTGCCCTCCCTGGGATGTGGGGACCCAAGGCTTGAGTTTCAGTCTCACCGTTCTATCCCCTGGCCTGCGATTTAACATTCACGTTCCCTCACATCAGGGGAGAGGGGGCTCAGCCCCCCAGCTGCTGGGAGGGTCAGATGAGGATGATTTACTGACGGCATCCTTAACACCCAGGGGGTAAGGCAACGTTACGGCCATCCCTGTCAGAAGCCCAACATCTCAGAAGTCCCCACATCGGGGGATATTTTCCTTCACCTGTAAGGAGCCAGTTCGGTAGTGTGGGGTGACTAGGACGTGTGTGTGTGCACGCGCGCGCCCACGCGCACGTATACGATTATACGTGTGTATATATAAATACACATACATCCATATAAACATAGACACGTTAAATTTTATTTATTAAAACTACTTTTGTATAGGTAGTATCTGGTACAAAATTTAAAATGCTGAAAAATATTTTTTCTTCTCCCCTCACCACTCAATTCTCTTTGCCAGAGGCAACGCTTCTGAATGCTGCTCGAGACTACATCATGACAGAGTATTTCTAATAACTTGTATTGAAGTTAGCTGCTTTGAAGGGAACACTTTGACTGGGCCAGTAGGTCTTATTCCAGAAACTAAGTTACAGGGGGAAACAGCCCTCTGTGAGTTCTTTACACTATTTTTTGTTTTGCTTTTTAAGTTTAGAAACATTCAGCATGTAATACATTCACTCTGTAAAAAATGAAACCCAAACAGCACAACAACAGAGTAAGAAAGAAGTCTCCCAGGCCACCTGGCTAGCTTAGTTGGTACAGCATGCGAATCTTGATCTCAGGGTTGCGAGTTCGAGCTCCACATTGGGTGTGGAGATAACTTAAAAATAAAATCTTAAAAAAAAAAAAAGTGTCTTCCCATCTACACCAGCTTTCTAGTTCACCTTCCAGAAGATGTTTCCTTCTATAAATATTTTATGCACATACAAGCATATGCTTACAATTCGTGTGTATTCCATTTTGAGGCATGTGGAAACACGTTTTTTTATTTAACGATATACATACTGAAGATTGTCCAATATAGATTCACGCATTCTTTTTAATGACCACAGAGTATTTCACTATATGGATATTCTGCAATTTACTTAACTGACCCGCTCTTGATGGATATTTATGTTGTTTTGGGTCTTTTGCTATTACAGTGCTTCAATAAACATCTTCTTCCATCTGCCTTAATGCACAACAATATATGTTTCTGAATCAGACAGACCAGGTCATGGTTGCAGAACTAATCACTTTTTGGATAGCTTTGGACAAATGACTTAGTCTAAGTTCCATTATCTATAAGATGATAATAAAGAGATTTCATTCATATGGCTGTTATGGATTATAATGATTATATGAGATGGTATGCATACAAGTACTTAGTACCATGCGTGGCAAATAGCGGGTGCTCAGTTAATGTTTGCTCTAGTCAAAGATGTTTTTCCTGTTTTGGATGAGGCAGTTTCTGGGTTGTGAAGACCTATACAGAGGAAACATCCACCCTTTGGGGTTTGGTTTGCACCTGGGGACATGGCAGCTACGAACAGGTCCCAGGTAGCATCACTACCACTCTCAGGGATGAGGTCATAAACTTCGCCACTTAGTACCCTTCCAAGAGGGGCTAGCGTCTGTGGAATTCCTCCCACGATCAGTATAAGCTCTGTAGCGAGGAAAAAACCCTCCACTCTTTAAGGGGACTGTAGCCAGGTCGGTCTCCTCCCGTGCGGAGAACAAACCATGCTCACACCCTCCTGGCCCTGTGTTCCCTCCCTGCACCCTCCTGCTTTCCACCCGCCTAACCAGCTCCTCCTTCCCTTTCAGGTGCAGCTCCTGTTCTGTCTCCACGACCACTCCTCTTAGGTCTCTCGTCCTCAACAATCCCCTGTCCCTGCATCACTCTGTGCAGGACTTGTTTTGACATATACTTCTCTCACTGTTATGTAACTATTCTATATGAGAATGCCCACTGCCTCAGTTTCTAAGCATCTTAAGGATAAGGACAGAGAACTTCAAATGTCATGTGTTCCTTGTATCATTTCCCCCCCTACCGGATGCTATACACAGTACTAAGCATACAGTATGTGCTCAGTCAATATCCAATGACTTGGACTCTGAACAAGAACTTAACCACCAATGACTTTTTAGTTAAAGTAGAAGTAGTAATTAGCTCTGGAGCCACCTTCCTCCTCGTGTTTGACACAAAAATGAAAAGAGCCCTATTATTTCCATTTTGATCCATAGGCAATTGCTGGGACAAGCAGCTCGTAAGTTATAGGAAAAACGAGTAAAGCAAATCCTCCCTCTCAGCCCCCCTCCCCAAGCCACTCTGTAAATTTAAAAGCAACAAACCTACAGAGACTCACCATGAGTTTCTGTGATTTAGCATGGTATAAAACATCCTGGTAGTGCTGGGCGCAGTCTGGGTCTACATTTTTAATCTTAGCAGTCGGTAACAGCAGAGTATCTAAAGTTTTCAAAGGATTCCCTTCATCAATAGCTTCATTGATGTGTCCTACAGCCACAATTCCTAGGGGAAAAAAAGTTTTCTTCTTAAGTCACAGTCCATTATAAGTTCTCTAGAATCACTTATGACAAAGATTTAGTTAGAAAGGGGGATGGGCCCCTCCCCCCCCACCCCCCGACAAACTGTAACAGCTAATAAACAAGCACGCCACGGCTGCAGGCTACAAGATCAATGTAGGAAAATCAAGTGTATTTCTCCACACTCACATTGTACAATCTGAAAATGAAATGGAGGAGAAAATTCCATTTGGAATAGGTTCCAATCACAAATACACTCTAATTACTTAAAGAAAACAGGAATAAATTTAACAAAAGAAGCACGGGACATGTTCACTGAAAACTATGAAACACCATGTAAAAAAATTAAAGATGACCTAAATAAATTGAAAACTCATCCCATGTTCGTGGATCTGAAGAGTTAATACTGTTAAGATGGAAATACTCCTCAAACTGCTTTATAGATTCAGTGTAATCCCTTCAAAATCCCAGCTGCCTTCTTCTTTCAAACAGAAATTGTCAAGCTGAATCTAAAATTACTATGCAAATGCAAGGGGCCAAGAATAACCAATGCAATCTTGAAAAACAACAAAACTGGAGTTCTCTTCTCATTCTGAAAACTTACTACAAAGCTACAGTTAATCAATACTGCACAGTACTGACGTAAGGACAGATGTACAGATCAATGGAAAAGAATTTAGAGTTCAGAAATAAACCCTTACATTTATGGTCAATTGATTTTTGACAAGAGTGCCAAGACAACTCAATAGGTCAAAGTCTTTATAACAAACGGCACTGGGACAACTGGACATCAGATGCGTAAGAGTGAAGTTGGACTCCCTACATCACATCATACACAAAAAATAACCCCAAATGGGTCACAGACTTAAGTGTAGAAGCTTAAACTATGTAACACTTAAGAAGAAAACACAGGAGTAAATCTTTGCGGCCTTGGGTTAGGCAATAAGTTTAGCTGTGACACCAGAAACACAACTGAAGAAAAAGATAAATACATGGGATGTTGTAAAAATGGAAACTTCTGTGCTTCAAAAGACACCAAAGAAGGTGAAGATAATCTAAAGAGTGGGAGAAAATACTTGCAAGCTCTGTATCTGATGAAGACTTGTATACCTTATATATGTGTATCCTAAATATAAGGAATTCTTATAACAGGGCAATGAAAAAAAAAGCCAATTTAAAATGGATAAAGGCCTTGAACACCCACTTCTTGAAAAAAGATATACAAATGGATAATAATCACATGAAAAGATACTCATATTAGCTGTTAGGAAAATGCAATCCAAATCACAATGAGATACCACTTTATATCAATTAGGACGGCTACAATAGAAAAGACAATAACAAGTGTTGTGAGGATGTGGTGAAATTGGAACTCTCATACATTGCTGGTAGAAAGAGGAAATGGTACGGTTGTGATGGGTCCTACAGCTATAATTCCTAGGGGTACAGGAATGAAAAATACAGAAGCCAAGCTATGGAATTTGACAAGTTTTTATAACTCTAGCAAAGGATATCTATTTGGAGGCCCCCTCTTAGTACCATCTAATTATTAAAAATAAACTATCAGCCAGTCATAAAATACTACAGCGTATACATGTATATGCATGAATATACTTATATACATTTGACCCTTGAACAGTGTGGGGGTTAGGAGCATCAACCCCTCATGCAGTCAGAAATCCATGTATTACTTTTGACTCTCCCCAAATTTAACTGCTAATAGCTTACTATGGACTAGAAGCCTTACCGATAACATAGTCAACTAACAAGTATCTTGTATGTTTTTATGTATTACATATGTATTCTTATAAGCTAGGGAAAAGAAAATGCTAAGAAAATCATAAGGAAGACAAAATACATTAACAGTAATGTACTGATAAAAAAAAAATCCATGCACATACATACACACACACATACACACACTAACAGGGGGCTTTTGCTTCCCAGGTTAGTGCTGACGGATAAGAACTAGTAAAGAAACTACACATTAACAAGCAGTGCTTACAAAATAAACATTCTTAGAGCCAAACTACTGTCATTTTGTTAACTACTTTTCAAACATAATCACAAGTCACTTTACAAACGTGACATGCTATGAAACAGAGTAAGTACTGTAATTTTTAAGAACTATCTTTGTTCTGACGCTCAAGTTAAATATTTAGCTAAATATCTCCTGAATAGATGACCCATAAATACTACCTTGCTAAGAATGAAAAGATTTATCTGTAGAAGGAAAGGGACAATTTAAAATGCCCAGAAATTATTCCAGATTATAACACTTAAATATATTTGAAGAATAAGCAAAAACACTTCTCTAAAATGCAAGTTACATTATATCAAAACACTGGAAGAATTCAGGAAAGTAAGTACTATCCATATATATAAGGTATTATCATTTTACCCTGTAGGAGTTATAACCTGGAGAACATAGAATACTTCATGTCATTCCCTGGACATGAAATCCCTTTGGTAGACTGTTCTAAATACTTTTAAACACCCCATCCAAAAATTATCTTAACAGAACTATGTCTGAGAAAGAGAACGTGTGTTCCTAATGGCCAATCACCTGGGAATGAGTGCATGCCAGCTGACTTGATTGAAATCACTTGTTTAAGTTTTTGTTTGTTACGTTTCTAAGAATACAAGCTGCTGAGGTCATAGTAAATGACCTCACAGGAGCTGAAAGACCTACCCAGAAGCACCCTGGGCACATCTGTATCACTTCCTCTGTTTATAAGAAAAGGGAAAATCCCACTGCTGAGCCTTAGTCCATGACCCACTTCTCTATTTTTTTTGAGGGGAAAAGAGGTTTATTTTTGAGAACATTATTAAACATTTATTAAGCACTAACTATATCCTTAGGAATTTGCTAAGTCATCTGCTTAAAAAATGTAAATAAAAGATGGCTTTTAGAAAAAAAGAGACTCAATTACTGTGACCAAAATCAAAACATAAGATACAAGAAGTAGAACAGAGGAATTAGAATGTCTATTGCTTACATAAGATGTCTCCCACAACAACAACACATCCAAAACGGAGCTCTTTATTTGTTCAACTTTTTTTTTTTTTTTTTTTTTTAGTGTTTCAAGTTTTTATTTAAACTTTAGTTAGTTAATATATAGTGTAATACTGGTTTCAGGAGTAGAATTTAGTGATTCATCACTTACATATAACACCCAGTGCTCATCATAACAAGTGCCCTCCTTTATACCCATCACCCATTTAATCCATGCCTCACCCATCTCCCTCCATCAACCCTTAGTTTGTTCTCTATCATTAAGAGTCTCTTATGGTGGGGCGCCTGGATGGCTCAGTTGTTAAGCGTCTGCCTTTGGCTCAGGTCATGATCCCAGGGTCCTGGGATCGAGCCCAACATCGAGCCCCACATCGGGCTCCCTACTCCGCGGGAAGCCTGCTTCTCCCTCTCCCACTCCCCCTGCTTGTGTTCTCTCTGTCAAATAAATAAATAAAATCTTAAAAAAAAGAAAAAAGAGTCTCTTATGGCTTGTTTTCCTCTCTCGTTTTATTCTTTACCTTTTTCCCGTATGTTCATCTGTTTTGTTTCTTAAATTCCACATATGAGTGAAATGATATGGTATTTGTCTTTCTCTGACAGACTTAGCTTGCTTAGCATAGTACACTCTAATTCCATCCATGTCGTTGCAAATGGCAAGACTTCATTCTTTCTGATGGCTGAGTAATATTCCATTTTATGTATATATACATATATATACACATGTGTATATATATATATATATATACACACCACCTCTTCTTTATCCATTTATCAGGAGATAGACATTTGGGCTCTTTCTATTATTTGGCTATTGCTGATAATGCTGTTATAAACATTGGGATGCATGTGCCCCTCTGAATCAGTATTTTTGTATTCTTTGGATAAATACCTAGTAGTGCAATTGCTGCGTCGTAAGGTATTTCTATTTTTAAACTTTTTGAGGAAGTTCCATACTGTTTTCCAGAGTGGCCGCACCAGCTCACCATTCCCACCAGCAGTATAACATGGTTCCCCTTTCTCTGCATCCTCACCAACATTTGTTGTATCCTGTGTTAATTTTGGCCATTCTGACAGGTGTGAGGTGGTATCTCATTATAGTTTTGATTTGTATTTGCCTGATGATGAGTGAGGTTGAGCATCTTTTCATGTGTCTGTCGGCCATTTGTATGTCTTCTTTGGAAAAATGTCTATTCATGTCTTCTGCCCATTTCTTGACTGGATTTTTTGGGTTTTTTGGGGTGTTGAGCTTGTTAAGTTCTTTAGATTTTAGATACTAACCCTTTGTCAGATAGGTCATTTGCAAATATCTTCCCCCATTCCATACATTGCCTTTTAGTTTTGTTGGTTGTTTCCTTTACTGTGCAGAAGCTTTTTATCTTGATGAGGTCCCAATAGTTCATCTTTGCTTTTGTTTCTCTTGCCTCGGGAGAAATGTCTAGTAAAAAGCTGCGACAGCTGATGTCAAAGAGGTTGTTGACTGTGTTCTCCTCTGGATTTTGATGGTTTTCTGTCTCAAATTGTCTCAGATTTGGTCTTTCCTCCATTTTGAATTTATTTTTGTGTGTGGTGTAAGAAAGTGGTCCAGTTCCATTCTTCTGCATGTTGCTGTCCAGTTTTACCAACACCATTTGTTGAAGAGAGTGTCTTTATTCCACGGGATATTCTTTCCTGCCTTGTTAAAGATTAGTTGACCACATAGTTGTGGGTCCATTTCTGGGTTTTCTTTTCTGTTCCACTGATCAATGTGTCTGTTTTTGTGCTAGTACCATACTATCTTGATGATTACAGCTTTGTAATATAGCTGGAAGTGGAGAAATGTGATGCCTCCAGCTTTGCCTTTCTTTTTCAAGATTGTTTTGGCTATTCGGGGTCTTTTATGGTTCCATACAAATTTCAGGATTGTTTGTTCTAGATTTGTGAAAAATGCTGGTGGTATTTTGATAAGGATTGCATTAAATGTGTAGACTGCT